ACGAAGAGTGCGAACGGCAATACGGCACCGGTCGTCACAATCGGGCCATGGAGTTCTCCGTGATCCATGCGTGCATGGACTGACATGCGGAAAACACCACCGATTGTTGGTCGGCGTTATCCACGCGACGACGACGACGACGATGACGATGACGATGACGATGACGACGACGACGCCGTCACCGTCATCACCCTTTGTTGGTCCTCCCCCACATAGCCCGACGACGCCACCCAGACCGGAACACGATGCCCGTTTGCCAGACACACCATGTCCTTAGTCCAACTCGGCCTGCGCGAACAACTCCAGCGGACGCCCACCCACGATGCCACGCGGCCCGGCCACCACCACGCACGCACTCGCGTCATCGGCCCATAATCGTCCTCCTGGCGGATGTGTGACCCCTTCGCGTCACTGCTCCTGGTGGTGTCTGTCACTCACTGTCTCGCACAAAATCGAAACACACCCACCGATTGCCCACGCGACGGAAAACGAAAACGGAACGAGGCCCCAATGATTCTTATTCTTTTCTACCTTTCCATATCTCCCTCTCACCTGTAACACTTGTGATCTCCATCAATACACTTATGTGGTGTACATGCCCAATGCATCACACACTCTGATATCACCACAGCAGCTGCTCAACACCAGGTGCCATGTTGTCTTTGACCAGCTCCATGGATTCCAATTCTTCTTGGATGACCAGCTGTGACTCCTCAGCTACCAGAGCAGAAATCTGTTTCACTTCAACATCACCTTTGTCCCTGCCCCTGCTGATGCTGGTCTGCTCGCTGCGCTGTCTGCATTCTCTCCACAGCTGTGTGTCAATCTCATCCACTGCTGCCTCAGTCATGTCAGTGAGGAACACTGCCATGAGTACATTCACCAGTCCACTGACCTCAGCAACTGAGAAAAGTGCAAGGTCCTCTCTTCCTCCCTCACACCACTCTGCAGCATATGTCTCTCCAGCATGGTCTGCCATACACCTTGGAGTACAATGGAGTGGTTGAACACAACTCTGGACACATTTCTTGTCAAGATCAACTTCATTACCACACAGGCCAACCCCTGTCTCTACACAC